TACCCACCTACCTCATAGAAACCTTAAGTCTAATCAAGAAAATGGTAAATAATCCAGAAAACCTCTTTCTAATCCTTTCTACCTTACAGCTATATGAAGATATTAAGTAATTATTATAAGTAAGATTTGTGATAGAAGTAGGCGTATAATTATCGTAGCGTAGGAGTGATTGAAATTTGAGATTCTCTAACTAGAATAGAAGTATTACAGTACATGACATTTCGTGTGTCATATGAATTATAATTTAACTGAAAATTGATCTAGTTGAGAATTTTTTTATTTCAAAATGTCAAAGAACTTCTAAATTTATTTAAAATGAATTTGATATTTTAAACAATGTGATTATAATTTCCACCTTGATGTTATTTATGTATAACATTTATTACCATGAGAGCTTTCCTTTTTGTTATTTCACATTATCTGTGTATTGAATCTTTCTGTATAGTTCATTTAATTGATTCAATCAATGTTCATTTATCGATAATGTGAATGTAACCTCATAATGTATGCCATATATTGGATAGTAGAATGCATGCATATAAAAATGGATATAGAGTACCAGTTATCTGTTTGACACCCCTCAAGTTTCTAACAAACTCTTCTACACATGCATTCTATCAATATGATACTATATAATATATATGATTGGAAGAGTTCATTTGTTAACTTAGGGGTGAGTTTGTTGCCTGTCAAAATATATCCAGTTTTGTATAATTGGATGTAAAACTTCATTCATTTTAATAATATATCATGAACGTAACCCTATAATGAATATATATAATGTATAGTGATAAAACCTGCTGAGAAGAAGACAGGGGCAATAACTGGTGATAAAGGCAATAAATATTACACTGAGGAACTCGATAAATTACAACCAGGTTGGTTTCTTAAGATATACATGATAGTCTAGTCTAGTCTGTATTTATATTTGGCATCACAATGTCACAACTTTACAAACTGTGTCTAATACCTTGACATTATAAAGCACTTACTTATATCCCGGAATGCATTGAGTTGATTTAACTGTACACTCGGAAATACAGTCAATCGGACTGCTCGACATAAACACTGTAAACATTATGGCTTATGGTTTACAGACCTGTCTAGGGCTCTGGTTGGTTGTATTTGGTGGCATACAATCCAATCAAATCACTGTATTTACAAACTTCCAGTCAAGGTTTTAAACTCAGTTAATAACAGCGTTATAGTGATATGGGAATTTATATGATGAAGTTTCTATTCTCTGTATGCTTTCACATCAATTTTATTGGGATTATTCTTATGGAAGGTCTGGTATCACCTCAATTGAGATGCACTTCTCTACATGACCTTCCAAGAGTTCAGGGTACAACAATAAACTGAATCGTGTTTTACAAAATTGTGAATGGTATGATGTTGAAACTATTAGGACAGATTTAATTTCAGTTGAAGAATCCATGGGTAAAGTGGAAACAACAGTGTCTCACGCTGCCCCTCCTACATCCAAAACAAAATCTGAAGCTGAGATCAAACCAACTACAGTTCATCAGGTCCACGCACCCAAACCGAAACCAGTTGTTCCAAAAACTATGACCAGTAAAACAGCTCATATTACAGGAGATAAAGGAAACAGACTATACACAGAAGAATTGAATAAATTAGATCCATTATTAGGCAGTAAGATATCAGAAACAGTTTATAGCTTGCAAGTCAGAATCTTAGATCTTTAGATCTCTCTTAGTAACATCTCTTTAGTTTTTCTTAAAGGGACGGGTGTGCCATTTTGGGAGGTTTATTTGAGTCTTGAATAAATAGTCTGGAAATGTACGAACAACGCATAATTCCTTTCAAAATACTTCAAACTAGGAATTTAACTCACTATTTCAATAAATGTCTTTTCTATATATCACAGAGTATCTTAAAATAACAATTCATCATTTTAACATTCAAACGCAGATAATTCTAGACATACATGGATTGGAAGGCTCAAATCTTGACAGTGAGCTATGAACACTATTACTGATTGGCTTAGCTAAAAAAAATTACATTTCTGAGACTAAAATATAATTTGTGATAAGGAATGGCCTACCAGTCCCTTTAAACTAATGTTCAGCTCTTGTAGTTAGTTAAGATATCACCGTGGAATCTGTACATTTAGTAAAAGCTTTTTATGCAAAATACAAAATGTTTTATACAAAACATATCAAGATATTTATATCCACGAACGATTCAAAACAGTTGATGATGTAATTCAAATATTAAGAATTACAATATATATTTAGCAATGACAACTTACATTTTTTTCTAGAACCCCGGTTCCCAACTTGGGGTGTTTTCAACCCCTTGGGGATGTGGGACAAGGGTGTCAGGGGTGTGGACAACTGGTGTAGGAGAAGAATTTTTTTGAATTGAGAGAGAACCTCACATCATCACATGCTGAAAAAGGTTGGGAACCACTGATCTAGAAGAAGGTGCTAACTTATTTTTTGTATAATTCAATATGTCATAGCTCCTAGTGCTGAACTCTTTACTAATATATATATATATATATATATATATGGTCTGTCTTTGTATATTTTTATTAATATCCCTTAGTTTAGAAATGACTTCTATTTCTATAGATTATTGTCTTTTAGATGAGACTACTCTTCTTCTTTTTTTATTATTATATTTAGTTAAGTTTGACGTCACATGTCTGAGCCATATTTTACAAAAGCATGATTTTATTATTGTTCATCTGATTGGTTAATCATTACAACTTTGACCAATCAAATTGCTGTTGCAAAGTAAACTATACTAATAATGTTATTCTATATACTGTAGAATTAAGTCCCTCTTCACAGATTCAAACTTTAACAAACATCTTTAAAAGACCTACTTTATTGTCAGAAAAAACATCAAAGCTCGTGGCCTATAAAACAATTGTTTTCTTTGAGAAAATGTAATAGAAACTTTTCTGATGTTTGACAATTAAGAAATCAATTTAAAATTTTCTATTTTTTATGTCTTATTATACAGAATTGAATAGAAGAACTTTTTCAAAGTTTTTTTTCTTAAATGTCGTTCAAATATGATAAAAATTATTTCTTCTTTTTTCAATTATATTCTGTAGAAATAATGTAAACATTTTATAACGAGGGAGGCATTATTCATTATTCTTTCACATTAACTTACAATGGAGATGATAAAAGAAAATTTTTCGTTGCTCTTGTCTTTCACTGAATTAAGTAAGTCGATAGATTTTCTACAGGTGTGTGGATTCGAATTATTGATGAATGAAAATAGTTTCATTTTAAAATTGTTAATTTGTGAACATTTTCTCATTTTCACCTACGGTTTTGATTTTATAAAATCCGTACAAGCAAAACAATTACATTATCCAAAAATCTCATCCAAATTGGGAGCTATAATTGTATATATGTAGTACTGGACTTTTCAAACAAGAAGTGCCATCAGTTGTTTTGAAAAGAGTAAGCAGGATATTTCATTTGCTGATGTATATTATGTTAGATTTTTTTTGATAGAATCAATGTAATAAGATCTTCCAGGATTATATTACTGAAAGTTCTAGGCTATAGTCCTTTATAAAGTGTCATCATGTATAGAGTTTCAATCATATTCTCCTACACACATTCATTTATTTCTGTATATTTGATAAACCAGTTTAGTTACCTGAACAATACATACTAATGGAACTCTTGTGTATAGAGCTTTTTTTCTTACATTCTGACAAAAAGTCAAGTATTTTTCTAATTTCTATGGTAGATTAGAAAGAAAATATAGAAAGCTAAAAAGTTTGAGTGCCTTTGTTAATGTGTAAAATTTTAGATAAAAATTTGATTGAAAATATAGAAAATTGGTCATTGGCCCAAATTATTATACCATTAAATAGTAATAGGTTTGAGGAATCTCTGAAAGGTTGACGAAACCCAAGCTTAAAAAAGTCTTTTAATCCGAACTTAAAGCTAATACTTTGAAGAATGACCATGGAAGAAAAGTCTTGTGGACCCAGGTGACCCAAAATATAAAATATATATGAATGAATATGATGTAGAATTTGACCTGTTATAACGTTATTACATTATCTCTGATTTTAAATCAATTCTAAAATTCACACTGTGAGTTATATAATTCAATTGATAAGATAATCAGGTTAAGCTATTTCCATCTTTATTCAACTTACAGTGTAGGTTTACTCTAAGGTAATTAGAATTTTAGATATAAGATTAGAATTAAAATAATGCGGGGGTGACAAAAAGTGCAAAAAAAATTATGATATAGAATTTATTTTATCGGAAATGATGACGAATTTGATAATATCTTTAATAAGGGGTATTTTTCTATTGTCTTTAGAATGCACTTACCCCTTTTAATAATTTCATTATATGTATTTTTATCTGTATTCAAAGTTAACAACTTGAATTTGCCCCAGAAGGTGTTAAGTAATGTTTTTGCTATAACCCGTCATTACTTTCTCTAGACTTACAAATCAGACAACTTACCAGTTTCTACTGTCTCAGAATATTGTAGTCGTTTTTTTCTGTTATAAAAGAATTACTGAATTTACCCCAGAATGTGTTGAGTAAAATTTTTGCTATAACCCTCTCATTTCTATAATTGGATAGACTTAAACAGACGTTCTTCTTTCTTTTGACTGGATTTTGAACTGAAAGAAGAAAATTGAATTGAAAACTTGATTATGTGTGTTAGTGAATTTGCCCCAAAATGTGTTGAGTAAAAGTTTTTGCTATAATCCTGTCATTTCTATCTTTAAATATAATTTTCTATAAGGGTTAAGTATATTTTCTTTTTTCTTTTGACTTGATTTGGAGATTAGAAGAGAAAACCTGAATTGAAAACATAATTTTTTTTTTTTCGTGAATTTGCCCCAGAATGAGTTGAATAAAAGTTTTTGTCATTATCCCTTCTTTTTGTTCATTTAATATTAATGTAGTGATTTCAATCCATTGTAAATAGTTGTATTCTATAAACAGATATATGTATATTGTTGTACCGTTGTGCCCCTCCCCTTTAAAGAATGACAATCTTATTTGTGTATTTTGTAATTGTTAGATGATTAATTAATTAAAAACAGAAGTGATGAATACTTATTTTAAATATCTTATGGTTTAAAAGTAACCGCTGTCAAGTATGTGTGTTAGTTGGTTTAAGAACTTAGTTGAACAATTTCCATGTAAAATTGATTTACTTTTCATCAAGTTATTGACGTTAATATTCAAGTACGGTAGGCAGAAAAAAATGGAAACAAGAATAACGTCAATGAGTAATAATAATAACACTCTGGAAGGCAGAGTAAAGTTTCCTCCTTAATCTCTATATATTAAATACATTAAGTTAATGATAAAATAAAAATTTTTCTTTGAGACGTTTGGAATTCAAAGTTTAAGGTTTAAAGCCGAATAAGATGAACTTTATCAAAGTCTTTGGAGTTGGATTCAAGTGCTGAAAGGTTGATAAACAGGTTGTAAAACGACCTAGGGACATTCTTGTCTATCAGTAGAGTCATCAGTCTATTGATGTGTAATAACTATTATAATGTAATGTTTATTACAAAGAGCCAGTATGATTCATCATCATTGTATTATTAGTTTTAAGTTTTTTTCATTGTTTTTTGCGTTCACAGGAGAAGCTTATGACGAGAATAGTACCGTTTACTCTTGACATCCTGAAAACTTGATTCATTTGATTGTACATAGCATGTTTAGAACAATAGAAACACTTCTTCATGCTTGATCAATCTCGTTAATGGTTTAAAGGGAAACAGTCGTGTAAATATCTGTTTAAAAAGCTGATATAGCCTTTTAGGTATTCACTTAGCCAGCTGACGTAGCTCATTCAGAATAACAATGCTGCCTAAAGTGTATCTTTACTTATAAAATAATATCAAATTATGTTGCAAAACCATCATCAGAAAAGAGCCAGAAAAAGACCAAATGAAAGATAGTTGATTTGTTGTCTCCTTAATATTATTTATAAACTCACTCTCACTTTGCTTTTTAATTGTCTAATTGCAAATGGGATCTTCAAGGATTTTCGATCTGATAAGAGATAAAGGGAGCTGAAAGTCAACAGTCTTGATGGTGTTTATTATTTCATAATGAATAGTGGAGTCAGGTGTCTAGAAGAGTTGACATACTCTGTCATTGTATTTGTTTAACCTAGGTACCTTTAGATGCTAAGTTAAGGACGATATCCCTTGATGTTGTTTATTGATCTATGTAACTTACCAATTATCATGTCTATTAATTAACTAGAATAATATTCAATCTCTAGTTTTCTCTAATCATTTCTCTGAACAATGTTTTCTCTCTCGTCTATTTGTCATGTAAAACGTAATTAACCATGTCTTACATTTGTCTGTCTATTAGTTAACAAAAAACAAAAAATAACTTCCAAATTGATTTATAATTAACATTATTGAGTGTTGTCAATGTTGATTTTTGATTAATGGTTAGATCTGGTGTATGTATGTTATATTCTCTTAGTCAGAATCATGATTTTATATCTAAGTTTCTTTTTTTAATAAGAAAAATCACTTTTTTCACTTTAAGAAATCAACTCATTTAGGTTATATCTTAGAGTTAAATAGGTGAAACGTCGCATTCTGTTTTTAATAGAAAAATCTATATTTTCAAGCCTATTGTTTTTTAACAATTATTTTATAAAAAAAAGTCTATATCTCATCATTTCATTTTAATCTCAAGTTGACAATCAGACATTTTCTCCTCATATTTTCTTTTTTTTTAAATAGAGCGTATTTATTTAAATAAAAAATCACAGACATTGACAAACAATATGTATTAGCATTGACGTTTTTATCACAAACACAAGACAATATTATGGAATAAGCAAAATATTAATCACATAATGTGTCGTCATCAGATTAAAATGAAGTTTGGTATTTCGGGAAAATTTTTAAACTTCTACTCATAAAATAACTATCTTGCTTTGCCTCCAATTTCTATAACTACGTTACAGAACTAATAAGCTGATGAATTATTTATTTTTTAATTATCAACTCATTAGAATTAAGTAAGATTATAAACCTACTCATGAGAATTCAACTTATTCTTGCTAGTACTATTTTATGATATTTTGAATGATTGAAGGATTAGAGAAAATGAATTTTTTTGTTATGAAAATTTTCATAAGTTGAAATTGTTACATTTTTTAAAGTATCATATTAATAAAATTTCTAAAACATAATTAATACATTTAAAATATAATATCAAATTCATCTGAAAATTTACCTTTTTTATCTAAAAATCTTATTCTCAAGAATGAAAAGAAATCGAGATTTCAGAAAATATAATTTATTTAAAAAAATATATATATACAGCTGTGGATACTCAAGTTTTTAAACATTTGCCGGCTAATATTCTAGATCTCGTTTAGATTTCAACATAGAGAGGATAGATTCTCTTTATATTATAGTATATTGCATAGTTCGTCACTTCATAAAACATTTTTTATTTTTGTGATTTCTACGCTTTTTTTCTTAATTTTCAATATTTTTATCCAGTATTTTGTGTATTTTCAGAGCCAGTAGATGAGAAAAAGACTAAAGAAGAAAGTAGTCCGGTAGTTGGTGATAAAGGTAACCCATATCATACAGCAGCTTTAGACAAATCAGGTAATATTACAGAGGTTTATCATAATTATATATAATTTATTTAGCTGAAACGTGAGTGAGACTATTGGCCAAGACTTCAAATTTGATTTTTTGACTACCTACAAGGTCGATGTATTCAATTTTACGTATTCTTTCATTTTATTTCAGATTCTAAAAATAAAGATGCAAATTCGCCCAATCAAAATAAAACAGATTCGAAAAGTGACCAATCAAAGCCGTCTCAACAAAGTGATAAATCAACCAATGAGGTGTCAGAGAGTAAAAAATCATCCAATGAGAAAGACAGTAAATCAACCAATAGTAACGCAGTTAACAAGTCAGTAGACAGTGATAAAGAGTCGAAGTCCCGATCATCCAGTGTAAATAAAGGAAGGACGAGTTCATCCAGTTCAGTAGATAATCTACCTACTCTAGCCACTAAAGAACCACCTCCTTTAGTTGATGAAGAGGAAGACAGGTAAATCTAATCTATGTGTTTTGATGAATGAAAGACTAAATAACATATCTCAGATTGGTTCTGGTTTGCCTTCTGTTTTTTGCCGTCTGTTTTTTGCCTTCTGTTTTTTGCCTTTAATTTTTTTTCTGGCTTTTATTGTATTTTAGTTAGATTTTTGGGGTTTAACTTTTTCTGGACAATGATTATATCATGAAAACTGATCGTTTAACATTAAGTTCAGTAACATCAATACTGAGTATTGTCTTGTAATCAATTCTAATATCTTGTCCAACAGTTTGGATTTAGAAAAAGCTTGGATCAGAACTGCAATATTAACATTAATGATGGTTTCATTAGAGATAAAGTGTAACTTATAAACATTGAAATGTATTTTCAGTCCGTTATTTGGTAATGATTCGACAGTATCGGATACACTAGGACAAATTGACTTGAAAACAGAGAACAAAAAAGATGATAAAAAAGATAAAAAACCTGCAAAACAACCTGGTGGAAAACTTCCCAGTAAAGCAGACCTTGTTGATGATGATGTAAGTAGCCTACAGTCGATTCTGAGTACTCCGACATTCTGCGGGATCCGCCATCTTTTTCTGGTCCCAAGTGATTTCCTTCTTATGTCAGTTGATATGATCAGATGGAGCACCAAATGGTATTTTTTAACTGGGGAAAATAATAATGAGTATACAGGACTATGGGACTATTCCAGAACTTTAGAACAATTCAGCAAAAGCAACACTGTTGATTCTAATAACATCTAATAATCTAATAACAAATTACTTGTAAGCCTGGTTTATGATTTTTTGTAGGACCAGAAACCCCCTCCATTATTTGGTGATGATGACGATGAAGATGATCTAGATTGGCTCAGTTAAAATTTTTACAATTTCACAGCATAAAGAAATAATACTCTTAAACTTTACAATGAATCCTAGAAGACCGTGTATACAGGTGCTTACATAGGGACCATTCACCAAATATACGGGGTCTAAATATAGTGGTCATGTACACTGAATATAGAGTCGATGCTGAAACAGTGTTCATGTTAAAAATGATGTTTTAAGAATTTCTAAATTCACTATGATTGCTTCAAAGTTTTGCTTGAAACTTGTGGACCCAAGTTAGTAATATAAAATTGGCTTTTATTTGAAATTAGTATTATTAGATCCAGAACATTCTTTATATCATATGAAATGCAAAGTTTATTTAGTTTTCATGTCCTGTCTGGTTAAAGACACCTGGCTCATTAGTTGATGTTGTATAACTGAAGATGAAATGCTAATACTAATATGCTATCAAATACATTTGTTAGTTCACCAGCAAATTCATCAGACTAATGACCTCTGGAACTGTCTTGTCCTAAATAACCTCACACCCACTTACCAGTCTCGATGATGGATGGATTTGCATTAATGACCCGAATCACCTTATAATTAGTGTAGTTTGTAAAGATATTATTGGTTTAGTTATACGGTAATAATAATATCAATGTCTTCTACCGCCTGCTATCAGTTATTGGTGATCTTTGATTTGTACTAATACCAGTGAAGGAGAAATTAGTATCGTTTGTAAAGATATTATTGGTTTAGTATACATAATGATAATCAAACCAATGTCAATGTCTCATGTTTTCTATATCCTGCCTTCAGTTGTTGGTGATCGTACTAATATCAGCGAAGACGAAATTAGTATCGTTTATTAAGATATTATTGGTTTAGGATAATACTACTAATACATATATACATGTCATTGTCCTACCTCTGCCTCCACCCTTGGTGATATCAGTGACATAGTTTATTAAGAAATTAGTATCACATCAACGTCAAGTCACACATTTATTACCGCCTACTTATTGGTTTTTGGTGATTCCTAGATTTGCACTAATACCAGAGACGGAGTTTATCAAGAAATCGTTTGTTAAGATATTATTTGTTGATGATAATCGCCACGTGTTTTACCATGATAGTGACCCTTGAATTTGTACTAATATCAGTGAGCAATATTGTCTATTAATTAGTATAGTTTGTTATTGGTTTAGTATATATAATACTGATTGTTACAGCACCATTGTTCATTAACCTTCTTCTTACTTTACCATTTGCAAATAATTAACTATCAATGATCTCACAACCACAAGGTGTTCTTTAGTTCTTGAAAGGTATTTTAAAGAGGTTTTTTTTATTGGGGTGGGGGGTTGGGACACTAATAGCCTAGATATATCACTAGCAACTTTGGTAATAGTGACCTCATCAAACGCTTAGTTTTAGTGGAATTGCAAGAACCACAGAGGTCTGATTGATACATGGAATGGTGCAAATTGATGATATCAGTGTTCCCGATAAACATAACAACTTAAGAAAAACTCTTTACAATCCCTTTAAGTGCCTAAATTTATTATTAAGATACCACTGTATTTTTTATGGTACTGATACAAGAATTGCTGCATTGATTTAAAACTCTTTATACTGTTTTGTCCAGGGCATTAACGAAATGATATCAGGCCTTGAAGTAATTATAAGATACATTGATAGACTTACCTAGCAACCAGATATGAAATTTGGATACAGAGAACTGAAACTGATCTCGTTTATTTAGATATTTAGATGAATAGATCTTTTTAATCAGATTAGCTTTTTCAATGGAGTTATCAAATTTCCTGAGGCAACCTTCCCTGTCTTTTCTTCCATAAATGAGAAAGTATTAGCCTGTTGATGAATTGAATTGATTTTTTGATTGATGAATTGAATGTATTTGGATAATGTTAATGAAGCATGTTATGGATTCAAAGGAGGTTTTCTAGCCTGTGTGTCATGATGGCAAAAACCAATGGTTTTGGTGATAGTGACTGGTGTCGTTATCTGGTCTAGTGTTTCTGGCATATCAGAAACCACACACTAGAAAATTAGAGTGATTTTTGCAGATAGCTGTGATGTTATCTGGAAGTTTTCTGTGATTACAGGAACCACGGTAATTTGAATTAAAAAGGCAGTAAATGTATCAATATATAACATAAAGAGGAAGAAACGTACACGTACGTAGGCTAGAAAACCTTTTAAGGAATTATCTTATTAATGTATATAATTTTATCGAATTCATGATTTAGATTTATAATAAATATATATATATGATGCAAAGATTAAAAAGTGCTTTAAAAATACAATATTTATAATCAAATTTTATATTATATTAAAATGTTTAATACAAAATAATGATATTTAATCCATATATACAAACATACCAACCAAAAAACATGGATTGAATGTTATACAGGTGTAGTTGATTTATTTCTGACCCATGTAAAATAAAGAATTTATTAATTGATGATTCCATGAAAACAACTCGTGCCATGTCAGCTTCTGGAATTAGTATCAAGTACAATTTGCAGATTATATTCTTAATTTGTGGTTGGTTCCGTTTGCACTTAGGAAATTTATTATCTATGAATATCACTACAAGTAGTAATAGACCTTTCATTATGGACGCAAGGGGATTCCCCATTCCATTTCATTCCATGGGGAAAGTGCGTCCATATTGAAAGGTCCCAAAAAAGACCTACACACCCTACATTTCATAAATTCCTAAACAAAAAAAAACACCTTCCATCAATTCCCCCTCCAAAAAAGTCCTACATTCCATCGATTCACACCCCCAAAAAGAACCTATTCACCTTTCATTTCATTGTTTGGAAAACAGACCACAATTTCTACTCAAATTTTAAACCTTAAAAATGGCAAATAAAATACTAGATCCAATCTTTAAATTATACGATCCGATTCGTTATTCGTTTAACAAGAAAAAAGAGGATTATATTATCATCTCACCGACTGTTGGTACTAAATCCCAGTTGGATGATGGTGGTAGAATTACCTTCGAAATAAATTCATTATTAAATTGGTTACTTCTTTCCGATGCGATTTCAAAATAAAAGATGGTACTCCCAATGAAAATCGGGTTCCACAAACAAATACAACGTTAGAAAACAATTTCTTTCCATCTTTATTTAGCGAGATGGTTTTGGAAGCTGGTTCAAATCCGATAGAAACAATTAAACACCCTGGGGAATTCGACACAATGTTGAAAACAGTTTTATATTCTAAAGATTTCGATTCAGTCTCGGGTTGGATACCCGATGTTGGCGATGGAAGTGTTTTAAAAGAACCGGTAAGAAATCTTGCAAATGATGCGGCTTTAGCCAGAGTGAGAGTTGTTGCTCGAAACACAATAAAAAGAGTGGCACGAGCAGCTAGTCCTGGATTCGAAAAACGAGTACTTCAGTATAACAATGTTGTTGAGAATAATAATAGGTGGGGTAATTAAGTAAATTGGCAATTATATCCTTTATTCGGTCTGTTGGAACATAGAAAAGTTTCCATAGGCTTACCATATAAAATTCATCTACAAAGAGAAATCAATGATGATCAGATATTCTTTGGAGAGAATGCTTCAAATTCAAAATTAGAAATAACGAATCTCCAACTTTATATACCTGTCATAAAACCACCAATTGAAGTAGAATCGAGAACATTCAACATGTTGACTAAAGATATTGAAATAGCCTTTCTTCGTCGTAACACGGTAGGTAGCATGACTTTAACTGGAGAATCCACTACGTGGCCAATCACTAACACTATTAATTAAACCAGCAAGATATTTAATGGTTGGTTTCAAGAACTTAGCAGACTTACAGACTAATAACAATAATATCTTTAGAGTAGCAATGAACCAAACTCAAGATCCTATAAAGTAAGATTAAACAATGATAATTCGAAGAACATCTTGGTAGGATATTCAAACCAGACTTTTAAAATAGCAGTTTTTGGTCTGAATTTCTGCTCATTAAAGAGCCTAACAAATTATTTTTTTTCTTCCGGTAGAAATGGTCTACCACTTTCCGCTTTAGGATATTCGCTGTCTAAATCTGACATGGCGGAGGTGTACAAACCGTTGGCGTCGAACGCCATTAGTTTAGTTCATTTTATTTTTTTAAGTTTTGAATTAATGTTTTATCTTTTTTACTATATTCTTTAAATAAATTCTTAAATAAGTAATTATATTACTACTCTCGAGTTCTGTATACTCCTTTAATATATTACAAATTTCATCCATTTTATTCGTTTCAAATGATTTTCTGTTAGCTGAAACTCTTCCTCCTTTAATGGATTGTCTGATAAAATATCTTATAAAAGGGTGTGTATGTGAGTAAACTTTTTCTATATTTTCTTTTTCAGTGTGTTTTGGAACCATTCTAGTAGTTTCATACCATTCTTCTTCAACTATTTCTTTATGGTAATGATACAAATAATACCAACCCTTAAAAGATAAAGAAGGAGCCGTTAGATTATTGGAAATATTCTGGAATACAACTTCTTTCATACCTTTGTTATATTTTATCAAACAAGCTCCAAGACATAACGTATCTCTTTTAGCACAAGGTTCCCATTCGTGTCTTAAAGATTCCCAATTATCTTCGGTGTATTTTGCAATACTGATATCAGTGATCTTTCTCAAATTAATTGGTATATTAGACGAATTTTCCCATGTCGCCTAACTAGATTTTTCATGTGGATAGGAACATATGAAATTAATATTTTGCAGATAATTAGAGTTGCAAATTATTTGATTTTGTCTTTTCCATTTTTCTGTTAATATTCATCGGTGAATGAATAAGTTAAAGGTAGAGATAGAATGCCACTAGCTGTTACTAGTGGACATTGTGTTAGTTTTTTTGCATTTTTAAGCACGATACAGTTAGCAAAACCACTACCGTTATGAGAAATTAATGTTAATCTTTTTTGATCTATTTTTCCTAAACGTTGCAACATTTGATCAATATAATCTTTACCCACAAATATTTCTACTATATTCATTAATTCATCATAAATTTCTTCTGGAACACTATCAGTGAAATCTGGAAAGTTATATTTTATTCTGTCTAACATTTTTTTTTTAGTTTTTCTAAATTAATTAACGTGCAAGAATAGGGAATGGCTTTATTCGTTTCTTTTTCGCTATAGGTTTCGCAATCCCATGCGTATAAATGCGTACAATCATCATGAATTTAGAGGTGAAACTTGTGTTACCGCATTATTATCTCTACAAGATCCCCATACATTTTCATCGTAATTATCTTCTATTTCCTTAATGCCTAAGGTTTTGTTATTTCTTCTTATTAGACAGAAATGTGATTTATGTAAGTAAAATACCCAATCTAATTCCTCGGATACTTTCTTTGGTTGAAAATGTCTATTTTGGGGCAAATAGATTTGAAAATAAGTATTAAATGTCTTATTGAATTCACTGATTCTAGCAGTTGTCATAACTCCTTTTCTGTTTGATTTTGAAAAACTGTTGATGAAATCTTGCAATTCTTTTGTGTAGTCTTTGTTCAAAACACGATTTACGCACTTTATAAAGCAGTGTTCATCGCTTGGTATGTAACAATTTATACCGGCATATCCATTCATCTTTTTGAGTAGGGTGGTACTACCCTTTTTTGATCTTTTTATTTCTTTGAAATTGTCTTTGGGTAAAATGATATTACCTGTGAAATACCAATCAGAAGCATCTGATTTATCATCCAATGTTGCAAAGAAATTGTGAAAAGTTTTGGCATTAAAGCCTACAAATTGCATGTTTTGTTTGTGTCCTCCATCTTGAATTATCACTCCATCTAATTCAATTTGACCTTTAAATGTTATAAATTTATCAGAGATAGCCTTAATAACATTGGAAAATAGCACATTTGATATGAATGTCTTATCGTCTAAAATTTCAAATATATTCAAATATATTCATATTTTTAAGTATCTATTTTTTAACTAGAAATTTTTCCCTTTTATTGATGATATTTCTACATGAAATTTATCTAAAATTTCATTGAATTCTCCTAATTCTTCAATGGTTATGTTCTTATCTTCTCTCGATCTTTCAAAAAATATAAATAATTTATTAAGATATTTAAAATTTGTTTTCTTTTTATAATGAGATTTCTGTTTTGATGTAAACCTAAAGTAATCAATCCACAAGATGAAGTTTGAACGACAGTGAACGCGGCTAATACAGTTGGGACAAATATTGGAAGCATTAAGTCACCGGTTACGGCTGTTGCCACCGTTATCCCTACTGTTAGAACTGTGCTTACTGTTTTGAAAACAGAATCAATTCTACTCCATGTTTTTCTACATTTGTTGAATTGTTTTAGTTTTTCTTTTAGTTCATTTTGTTTTTCTATCATGTAGTTTTGTCTGCATTTTAGTTCCATTTTTCAGATAATTAAATTAAATGAATTTCTGATAAACCAAAAAGCTGGATATTTTGTCCATGGTATAAACATTTACAGTTAAAAAGGATATTTGTTCTTTCGAATAATTAATCTTGTTTAGATGAACTGAAAATTTTGGTTTTTCAATAGAGATTAATAAATTAACATTTACCTCTTCATCTATTATTAACGTAATATAGTTTTACATATTCAAAGTCTGATGACCATACCGGTGTAATTATGACCGGGAAGATGTTTTTCTCCGGGATATTTTACCCATGGAAATCCAGGAAGAGAGCCCAATGCTTTTTGTATATCTGAACCAAAATAAGTTTTCGGAGCTTGAGCGACAATCATTTTTTATCCTATGAATTCAAAACCTTTTCCTTTCCTTTCTTCTAATCTCCTGTTTCGCAGATCTCTTACTAGTTGTAATTCTTTAAACTCGTTAGACTTTTTCACTGCGTCGTTTATACTCTTTCCCGCTTCCGCGACAGATCCTATAGCTTTAGCTTCCGAGGAAATGAGGGATTTGTTGTTTGAAACAAAGCTAGCTACTTTTGGAATTATTGTTTTACCTAGAGAAAATATTGATGAAAAGATACCGTCGCCCGAATAATCTTCGAATTTGTGTTGTTCGTGTTTTAGAATTAAATTCATCCTATTTTTAAATTAGTTAATTTAACGAAGAAATTGTGGTCTGTTTTTTTCCAAAACTTTCTTTCTTACAGAAGTTTCTACATTATTAATAACCGAATGTTAAGCGAAACAAGGAAGTTATTTTGTATAAGGGTATTTTTAATATGCTTTTTCGTCAAAACTTAATTTAAAAATGAAATGTAGGGTGTGTAGGTCTTTTTTGGGACCTTTCAATATGGAGGCACTTTCCCCATGGAATGAAATGGAATATTGCGTCCATATTGAAAGGTCTATTACTACTACTACAATGGCTAATTATCTAATCTACAATAAAAAAAAATGAGTGGTACAACGTCTGTTCTCAATAGGAAAATAAAAGTATGTGGAAAAAAAATCCCTTAAAGTCCACAAGCAACAGTTATTCTCCAGAGGAAATACTGAAAAATTGTCCAATCTACAGAGAAATGAAATGGAGCTTTACTACCAATCGCTACAGAAAAGTACAAGTCCGTGTCTGAATAAAAAAAAACACCAATTAATAAACGATAGAAAATTCCAGTTGGATTTTAAAATTATCCAATGAAACAAAATGGAATCTAATCTTTAGAGTTACTAAAAGTATGTGCCTGAAGTAAATAGAACACCCTTCAATATATCAAGAGAAAATTAACAAGTTCCAGCCAGGGGTTAAAGAAAGGAAGATAAATTGGTTTAATTAAAATCGGCCCTGCTGATAGACTTTCAGCTTGATTCTGCTAGTTTAATAATAAACTATATGAAACTCATCAGGGGGTTCAGCTACTGGCAAAAAATCTGTCTGCATTTTGAATGTAATTATTTTTTAAAGGAAGTCTAAAGACTAATTTGGTATTGTAATAGCAGGTACTCTTTCACAGGTACAAACATAGTATTGGGTGCATACGATTCTACCATTTGATGGTGATTTGTGAAGTCGGGCCGGTTTCAAGTTTCAAAACATGACATTTTCTCAAATGGTATATTCGTGTATTCTTCAAAAATTAATCATTCGAATCCAAAGGGGTCTCTGTAGGGTCGTGCTGTATATAATGCAGAATTTCGTGATTATTCTGTTTTCTGGGGGGTTTTATTAATTGAAAGATGTCCTAAATATAGTAAATACTTGAAAAGCCACAATATACCAGCCTTATTTGAAATGAACCGTCGTCTGTAGCATTCATTTATTCGAATATGATGTCGGAGCATTTTATGTCTGATTGTATATATTGCCGGTTAATCTTAAATACGTTGGCTGTTCTGTCACAAAACTGTACAAATATTCTTAAAGTTACCTTTAATTCTAGTATATTGTTCTCTAATGATCTGATATTTACAGGTATGTGTGCTGTATATTGTCTAGTTGGTTAATTGATGTTTCACAGAACTCTTCATAAACTACCAATGGCTATCAGCTCTCTGCTCTTTGAAGCAGTCACGTTTCATGCTGCTGTCTTTCGTAATTCCTTGAGTTTTTATCTTCATAAATGCAGTAATTGTATCAGTTTCCTTCTGTGCTTTCTAAACATGTTGGTATCTGGTAAATGAAATCTTCTATATGTCAACGTCCTAGCAACGCTTCATGCTGCTCTCTGTCGCAGTTTCTCTTCCCGGATTCTGTCATTTAGATTTTATTTTTATTAGGCTAAAGACATTAGCCAATGTATCAGCTTCTTCTGTCATTTAAGATTAGTACAAACCAGTGCAGCCCAAAGTTAGAAATATCTTGACCAAAAATTGAAATGAAATGAATGGAGTTTTACGTCCTACCTTTCTGCACCTTATGGGCTAATGAAGACTCGCAACACGATGCAAGGTGCAATGAGGGGAATTTTGCCAGTACAGCGGCATTAGCCTGCTCTTTTTCGATTTCCAACCATCTTAAACGTGCACACGGGGCTTCGATTTATTGTCCCATCCGAAGGACTAGAAACTTTTCCATGCTAAACGGAAATATCTTGACCAAAACAGTTGATGTATAATAAAGAGATGATCTTACAAAGACAAGACGATATTATAGAATAAGCAGATCAGATCAGACTGTATCATCTGATGACAACACGTGTAAATATTTTATTCTTAAGAGTGTGTTTATTCCATAATATTGACTTAATATGTCAGTGATATGTACTCCTCACCTCTAAATGACGTTCATGTCTTCTAATAGAGAAACTAGTTTGAGAGGCAATGATGAGAGTTTTTCCAATAAAATGAGATATATTCTTCTAGTATGTTGATATTATTTTATTCTACTTGTATGTGGGTATTATAGAGTATTAATGTAGAGTAATAATGATCCAGTAAGATTATCTGTAAAGACTATTATTTGTTCTGGTTCCATCGTACTAATTATTTTCTATTCTCTGTCTTATACTGGTAAATCTACAAGCCAGTAGCTCAGTTTCTAGTCACGTCAGTATATATAGATAAGAATATAGGAACGGGGGTGGGGGGTTGGAATTAGCCCCTCTAAAAAATGGGTTGAACCCCCCATCTTTATTTTAAAATATTATTTTTATACTTTTTTCCCCAAAATATGTGCCAAAATCAATTCACTATGTTTTCTTAGGAGAAACCTCTCTGACGTCCCATGGGAGGTTAACTACTATGACGTCTCTGCGGAATTGACGCATTATAAATTCAGCCTCGACAGTTGTCCCCCGGTTCAGTCAGGTTGCAATCTTTTTGTAACCCCAGTCTCGGGAGGCTGACGCCGCGACTTAAAATGAATGAAATGGAGTGTTTAGTTTCAATGATATTGGCTTATAAAGTATAATGGTAATCTAATATTTGACAGTGGTTATAAATAAATGAATTAAAAATAATATCGTTTACTTCGAAATGAATAAAACCGTATTTTCAGGTTCAAAAATATTGAGACATAGAATAATTGTAATTTGTTGTTGAGTACCCAAATGATAAAATGTGGCACTAGTTTTTCCTATATCAACCTTTTAGTATTTGTTCGTATCTAACTCGCCAATAACTTCCAACAATTCTTGTTCGCTGTCGGGATTGCTGTCGTGTTGTATTTTGTTATCGTAAGATTTCGAATTGAAGTATCTTTGGAATATAGATGACTCTTTTTAATATGTGCTTTCTTGTATTTTCCTGGTGGTGGGTTCCCGTGGACTTGATTCAACAAGTCCCTGTGATAATTGAGACACTGGATTTATCTACGTTCGAGAAGCACTTTTACATTAAAAGTGTTTTTACAGTTGCGGTTTTTTGTATTTGATAAAAGCCGGTTATAAGGTCTAACGCAGTAAAACATTATTGACGTTTATAAACAATAGATTAAGTATTGAAAGTTTGAAACCAGGATATCCGTCGAGATAGGATCTACGATCTGTTTGACAATCAACATAAAACTCTGCTTTTTCAGCATTTTTACCAACATTTTTCTTCACAACTTACCGTCTGCATGTCGGATTTTGTATCTTTCTTTCGGTCACGGTTTATGACTAACATGTAATTGATAAAAGCCGAGTTTATGGTCTATACCAGGATATCCATCGAGATAGGATCTACGATCTATTTGAGTATCAACATAAAACTCTGCTTTTTCATCATTTTTCTCAACAACTTATAGTGTGCATGTATGATCATTTCTTTCAGTCTCCTGGTGTTATTTTTATCTCAAAGACAGAGCCATTTCTGAAAGAAGAAACGCCCATCATTAATAATAGCACGAATTTAGCCGTGCTCATCCAATTAATAAACTATTTCTGTTTATGTTTAAAAATGTCACAACTGTTATCAAAAGGAAATATTAAACTCTAGATAGATCTATGGTAGCCGGAAACTTACTGACTTATCATCTGTAACCTTGAGAAATACTAGAAATACTAACGTTGTGGGAAGCCATTATAAAACATGCATACGTCTTCTTCTGCATGGTCTCAAACAGTGTCTGTTGAATTATATCTATCGTGGACCAGGAAGAAAATAGCAAGTCAAATTAGCTAAATAGGAACCAGTTTAAACAGAGAATAAAAATACTAAGTGATGTGACAGTCGGAAGGAAACTTGTCTCTATCTTTACCTCGTCAAACCTGATTTAGATAATGACAGATATATTATAAGAAATAAACGGTTCTATAGATCTTAAATTAGACTACTCAGCATGATTTAAGCCAGGTTAATAAGAGCTACAGAATAATTCAATCAATCAATTAAACACGGGGGCTTATTCTCGAAAACACAAGTTAAGGTTATTGTCGCATTCCAGATATTTGATTGGTCACTGATCAATTAAATTGATTTTAGATTCAGTTTTATCAACCGATCAGATAACTATATTTCTTAATTATTGATTGTTAAATTATCGAGAATAAGGTCTCGGGTTATTATATGGCTACAGTATAATTATACAATATACCACTAAAAACATCACAGACGAACATTTTTATCATCCCGAAAATATCAAAATCTCGTTGAAGATCTAGCCCTTTGCAAAGATTATTTCCACCCCCCTTCCAAGCCTTCCATGGGGCGTTAAAGGGGGTTCTTCTCATGAACATTTTGAGTATATATATGATTTAATGCAAGAATGTCAGTCAAGAGATTGAGGTCACGATGTGTATGCCTCCACGTGTTGTTTGTTGATATATGGGTAGAACATCGTTCGCTGTGTGACCTGAGTTATCTTAAAATATCTCCATTAAACTTTGTCTATTGTCTACTAAATGTCTACTATATTT